TAATTCCAAAAAGAACCTATCTGTACAGTGTACTAGACATAACTGGTGTTATATTTTAAGGTAAAAATATTCCATTCCAAATGTTCACTGATCCTTAGAGAAATGGAAATGGACTCGGTAAATAAAGGAATTAGACCAAACAAAAAAGTTACTATAATGAACCACCACCACCCCCCAACACACACTTAAACAAAATTTATAATACACCCAAGGAGCTCAGAGTGAAATCTTTGATTGGAGAGTTGCTGCAGGAATAAATTTTGTAATATTTGTAGCAGAAAAACTGTGAACTTATATTGAGAAGTGCATGAGCTTTAGCATGAAACAAACCTAACTTCAAATTACCATCTTTTTGCTCACCCACATGACCCCAGACAAGTTGCTGAAGGAAGCCTGTCCGTAGAGGGACAGCACATGGCTCCATTGGGAGAATTAAGCGGCATGTGTGACAGTGGGTTGGGAGGTTGGGGACTATGAACCCAGGATGGCACCACCAGACGGAGGCAGCAGGTCTGCGCTGAAGCTAAGTGTCCACGTTTTTACAATGCAGCATGACTGATTTTACTACACAGGGAAGGGAAGGGAAGTCATGTTTGACCCTATGCCTGGAACATGATGGGCCTCTGCTAATGTTAGGCGGCTGTTGCACATAAACTAGATGTCTTCCATCATTTCCCATGAAGCTTGTCATAAACTGGTTCATTAAAAGGATAAAGACAGAATCTGTCCACAGTGAAAAGTTCTGGTTTTTTTCTTCGTTTGTGTTTGGTTTTGTTTTTGCTATAGACGGGAGTTAAAAGGAACAGAGTCAACAGAAGTGCCATTTACAGTGCATAAATCACCAAGTCACTTAAGTGGCCTGTGTGCTCACCCCACTGATCAGGACATAAATCTCCTCTTAGGTGTTGCTGCGCTTATGTATCACAATCAACAGACAGGATTTGCTCCTTATGGCATGACCTCAAAAGAAAGCCAACTGCTAATCTACAAAGATATCTGCAAATGTGGGGAAGCAGAATAGGTCTCAGAAAATATTCTTGCAAATGTCAAAGGTCTATTGTACAATCACATTTTTTAACATAACGGAAAGGTCTTGGCATATTTATAAATGGCTCTCAGCAATTAAGAAAAGTGCCATTAAAGGTCAGAGTGCATGGGATTTGATGCCCCCAATATTTCAATTGTTTGTATGCCTGCCTGTCTTCCTTACCATCTTTCACATGCTGCTAAGAAAGGTGGCTGAAATTCCATCCTGGGAGAGGCTGACTGACTAAAACAAATGGAGTGTTTGCTGCACAGGGTGGTGATCTCTGCTGCCTTTACTTCTTCCCTAGGCCAAACCACTGCAGCGACAGACCGTCAGTAGGCAGGTCGGCACGAACCAAGCCTCAAGGTGAGGCAGGTAAAGCCCCACAACGCTGCTGAAGCCTGAGATGTCTGAACTGCTGTTGTCTGCAGTTTTCTCACAGCAAAGGAAGGCTTCAATAACCAACACCAGAGAGCCAGACACGGGCCCACAGATATCAAATATGCATAAAATCCAACATTAAAAGCAGGCATTTCTCTTTTCCTGAACAAATCGAAGGGCTCTGTTCAAGTGTGCTGATCCAAATTACTCGGTGGGAATTTCCTTTAGTGGTCAACTCCGTGCCAGGCAGGTTCCTAGAAAGGCTATATCCTCCATTTCCTCCTCTGTAGATCTTATGCATACAAGTTAAGTACAAACAGAAATACAGACTTGTTTTAATTTTTAAATAGAAATGACTGATTTCAAACCTGAAATATATCTACATGCTCATTTGGAGCCTTAGATAAGCCAATTTGCTTGGTGACACTCAACCTGTCAATAGACTAAAGTTATGACTACCTGAGGGATTACGTTTTTAAACAGTCGGGCTCCAAACAACATTTCAAGTACTGACTGTCACTTTGCAAGCGGTCTTCAGCTCCCACAGGCTGAGGTCTACAAGGTGGCGCTCGGTCCACTCTGGCCCTGACTAACCCTTTCGTGTTCTCCCGTCACCCATGAATGTTCTTTCTGCCTATCCAGCTCACATAGTCTCCATTGTTCAGGAGGAATTCGGCTTCTTACAAGAGTCACCAATTCAGTACCACAGGACTCTCTTAAATGAGTACTCATCATACTATTTAGCATAATGTCTGCATAAAACTTAGCACTTAACATACATGTTAATTTAGACATTTTTCACTGTGTGTCATTCGTATCTCTATCCATTAGGACTATAAACTTCTTAAAGACAAAACCCCGTCTCAAACTGGACCATACTTTAAAACAAATGCTTCTATCTCCTTCCGCTGCATAGTCAGGCGAGCCTTATTTCCAGGTCTTTTCAACAGGACTCAGAGCTTTCAAATGAGCTCACCTGTGCCTCCTACTGGTGACTATGACTATTACAATGGCACCATCTATGACAAAATTATAATGGTTGGACCAAATCATTACTTGTTGAAATCAAAGAAAAATTACAAATCATCCGAGATTATAATGAATAGAGTGTTTGAGGGCAATCATTTTAAGGTTTAAGATTACATTATACATTTTATTATATAAGTGACAATTAAAACAAAAAAGTGAAGCCTCTTTCCTCTAAACTAGTAACTATTTTTGAGTTTGGATTATTCCAGTATTTAAAAAAGAAACAACAATGATCATATACTGAAAGATTCTGTGATTAGGAGTTTGTATGAATCACCCATACCGAATACCTACTAGTATAACATATAATGTTCTAAAAAGCATGCTAGGACACTACTTTGTATTACTTTCGGGGACTTTTTTAAAGATTCGGTGCAACTAATACTGACTCTCTTCATTTGCAGGGCAATTCCATTTCCCCAAGAAAGAATCCAGCAAGACGGTAAAACAAGCACACAGATGGTAACAATGAAGTGATTCAAAGAAAACTCAATGACGACCACAGAAACAACCTGCTTGTAAAACATTACCTAATAGTGTTCCATTCGTAAGTTAGTTTCCCAAGTGTTCTCAGTCCTGGTCAAACAGCCTCTAAGGAGAGACCTGGACTCCCCTTGCTTGCCCCCCCCCTCCCCTGCTCAACAATGCCGCTCTGGCTTTATCCTTACCTCCCGATGTTCTGAGCCCATGTTTGCGGCCTCTGCTGTCTGTGCAGTAGACAGCTGCTGCGCTAAGCTCAGCTGCAATCGAGAATCATGAAGATGGCACTTTACGGTGATTTGTTCTAATGTGCAGTCTCTGGGGTTCTATTGGAATACTAATTATAAGGTCATTTGTTATGACAGCAAGCTTGCTTTTCACAATGTACTGTCAAAAGCAGATCTCCGCAGCCTGAAGATCAGGAAGCCATGCTGGGCCTCCTTTTCTAAAGGAGCACTCTGGACTCAGTGGCCTCTAAGACTCACTCTCTTCACTGCTGAACCGGGTGCAGATCTTCCTGTCTGTTCACTTCAAGTCCTATTGCCTCCCACGAAAGCAAATCTGTCCCCAACACTGCAAACGGAGCCTGCTCCTCCTGTCACCTCACACAGCATCCCGACCTCCACCTGTGGCCGGCCATTAGCCTTCCATCATCGGGCCGCTGGCCTCCTTTGCCTTTCTCCCTCACATCCTCTCTTCAACCACGCAGCTCCCTCTCGCCATGACAGTGGCTTTGTGGTCTGGAGACTAACTACAATTATGCTATACATGAAGGAGCACAGACTACTCTGTTCAACACGGTTCCAGTAACTGGTCACTCCCTTCCCCTTGCTGTCTGCCCCTGTTTCGTGTGATAATGAAAACGGCTTTGCAAGCTTGTGAGGAGGAAGGGAACTGAAGACATTAAAAATACTCAGCACAACGCCTGATACTTATAAACACTCAATGTTAGTGCTATCACTGTTTTAACAATCACCATGTTTCTTTTTCAGTACAGATTTGTAGTCCACAATTCTAAATGAAATAAAAAAAAAAATTATGGTCTGGATTTCTAGCCAAGGCAAATGAGATCATCATGAATTTCTCTCTTTTTTTTAATGATATACAGGGTGAGGGGAGGGGAATCAGTCGCCAATTCTGGCAGGAAAAAATGACTGCATGTGGTTACTGACTAGTGCTCTGAGTGACAGCTAAGCACTATACATTTCTCAAGGGTGCAGCAAAGTTATCAGGTTGCTAGATTTCAGAACAAAACAGAAAAAATATACTCTGATCAACTATAAAATAATCTGTCCATTATCTTGTCTGTATTAAGGATGATCTTTATAAGTAAAAGATATGTCCCAAAGTCAACCTCTACTAACTGAGAAATGTGTTTCCTGATGTCACATATACCTTTAAAGAAATTACTAAACACATACACTAGAAACCATATTGTCAAGTCTAAGTTAGATACTAAAGTAGTACTACATCAGAGAGAGGAGAGGAGAGAGACAAGAGTGAACACACAGGTGTGAGCAAGCCACCTGAATGCCTTTGCACCACTTTCCACAGATACAAAGAAGCCCACCCTTCACGAGTTGCTGATGTAGACAGGCAAGGCAGGCAGTGTCCACTGGCAGAGTGGAAGTCAACACCACAAGTCTACATCATATTAGTTATAATCACAGAGTCTCAAGAGTCTCAAAAATAACCCAGACTGCCCATAGACAGTTCTGGTTTTACCATCCCAATGTGATTTTGGACCAGTACCAAATATTTCTTCAAAATCATGGTACTTAGATGTAAAGAAGCTTTCTTTTAGCAGATTATACTGGGTATCCTAAAGCACATCAGACTCTAAAAGAACGGTGATGCCATTCAGGGAAAGAAGCACACCTTCTCTTACATGTTTCAAGGCCTTTCATGTTGGGCACAGGCAATTTTATGGCATGTACCATTTAGAAGAGGAGGGTGATTATTATTAGTCACAGGTGAGCACTGTCCTAATAGGGCTCACTAGATGTCAGAGAGCTAGCTACATATAAATCTCAGAAGAATGTGCCACATTTATTTTAAAACACATTTTAAGGTAAGTGCTTACCTTCTCTTAGACGGTCCACCACAAAAGTAAATCCAGTAGTTCTTGGATGTAAGACGTATTCATATTTTTGAAGTCCATTCTTCTCAGCAAAATCATTACTCCGAGCCTTGTTATTTTCTAAACAAAATAATAGACTGTTAGTAAAGTAAAAGATGATAGTGGGTAATGACAAACAGTAAGAATTTCATAGATAAAAATACCACTTATGACCGGGTATGGCGGGCACAGCTTCAATCCCTGGACTCAGGAGGCAGAGGCAGGCAGATCTTCAGTACAAGACCAGCTTAGTCTACATAAATTCCAGGACAGCCAGGACTAATAGTGAGAACTTGCCTGGCCCCAAAAGATACTTACATATTCCATTGTTACAGACAGTATATGAAGATGATGCAAACTTTTGAATATATACATGAATGCTTTGCTTCCATATGTGTGTGCCAGTGTGTGTGATGCCCCAGGAGGCTAGAAGAGGATGTCAGATTTCCTGGAACGGGAGTTACAAATGGATGTGGGCAGCCATGTGGGTGCTAGAACCCAAACTAGGTCCTCTCCAAGAGTATCAAATGCTCTTAACCACTGAGCCATTTCTCCAGCCCCCAAATGCAAACATTTGTGATAATCCCTTACCAAGAACTCAATCTATTGGTATGTGTGTGGATATATGTAAATATATGTTAGGAACAAGGCCTTAATAAGTTCCCTTAATTAAGTATGTCACAAAATTTAAAATTAGTTAAAAGCCAGTATGTAACAAAAATTGAGATATAAAATACAAAAAACTACTAAGCTCAAATGTTCATGAACCTTTACATGAGGTGAGGATGTAATTCAGTGATAAAGCAGTTGTCTACCATGTACAGGGCCCTAGGTTCAATCCCCACCACCACCACCAATAATAATAAAAAAGTCCTTAAATAATAAAAGTTCAAATATAATATAAAAATGCTAATAAAACTGAAAATTAACAAAAGTCAAGGATTTAGAGACATCCAGAAGAAATGGCCAGCAATCAAATATATCAGATCAATGTTTTCTTTAACCCAATAATTTAGGCTTTCAAAGCAGTAAAATATCTGCCTTGCTCAAGCACAGAGGGGCTAATATTACTAACCAAAACCACTGCACAACAAAGTAAGCACATGATTAGCACATCATGTACAAACATCTGAACATGGTTTGGCTGAATACAGTTACAGAGACAAGTATATGTTCCAATTGTTGGCACTAACTTCTTTTTCCATTCCATGAGGTCACTTTACAAATTCCAAGAAGAACCAAACTCATTATTCAGCAAATACAATTGGAAAATAAAGTGTTCGAAAATTTGGCCTTGACTAGAGATCATCAAACACCTTCTGATGACAGCAGACATTAGGGCCTGTAACCCAGCTCTATCTGGAAACCTACAAGCTAGTATAAGAAAAATATCTACACAAACACAGCTTTCCTGGGAGTAAATTTAAGATTGGGAGTCCTCCAGGCCTCCAGCAACCATAGATGCCTCCCCCAACACAACAGCCAGCAGATACTCTAGAGGCCTTGTTCATTTCTGACAGAGGCACTGAGTCCAGTGTCCACAGCTTTCCCGCAATTAAAGGGAAAGGCCTTGGACATGAAAATCAGTCAGCTCTTCTCCACTAGTCTGTGACTATCCTGGGCATGGGGTGATAAACAGTGCTTCTGGTTCAGCCAGCTGGCAGACCTTAAATGGGATTAGCAGTCCCAGAGGCACCAGAGAGGTGGGCAGTCTGTTTTCCAGTTGTTGGTGACTTGGGGTTCTCAGGTATAACTGAATTCTGTTGCAGATGTGAATACAAACGCACACACACTGTGGGAAGTTGGAAATGATCAGACCACTGAGTGTGGCGATGTTCTCCCCCTCCTCCATCTTCCCGTTCCCAGGCCGTCATTATTAGTAACTGCACTTGCATCCCATTTTCCAACCGCAGCCTCTTGCCAGCTCACTGCCTGCAACGTTCCCACTCCAGCACCGCCTCCACCCACACCCACAGCAATGCCGGCCACTCATCTTCTCAAGCCAACCTGCATGTTCCGACCTCAGGCCTGTGCAGCTGGTGTCCAGTTACCCAGAAGGCCTCCCGCTGCTGATGCAGTCTTCGGCCTTCTACATATGGTCCCTACTTTTTAAGAGAAACTTAATAGGGAGGCTTGCCCTGATTACTTTACAGACTAGCATCCTTTAATCTATCTACCCACCTTGCTTTATTTTTCTATACAAACTCTTACAACATCTGTACATATTATTAGCTTATTCCTCATCTAACATAAGCTCCAAAGAAGGGAATTAATCTTGTATATAAAGTTTCAGACACTAGGATATTTACTACATAAAGAAACTTTATATACAAGAGTGTCAAATTGTATGTAATATCATCGTTAAAACCAGAAATAGTTTTTGTTTTCCAACTCAGGAAAATGGAACTAAAAATTATACCCTAACAACTGTGATGCCTAATTTTGTGTAAACCTGACAAGGCAGCATGTGTTGCTTTTTTAACTGTCAACTTGTCACAACCTAGAAGAACCTGGAAAGAGTCTTAATGAGGCATTATCTAGATCAGTGGGCATGTCGAGGGGAGACTGTCCCCACTTTGGGTGGCATCATCTCCTGGAGAGGGGTTCTTCACCAATATGAGAAGAAAGCGAGCTCACAGCCAGCATGGATGCATTATTCCCTCCCTGCTCTGACTGTGGGTGTGAGTGGCCGTTTGAGGTTCCTGCCCTGACTTCCACCCAGTGGTAGACTGTTAGGGTATTGCTCATTACAATAGAAAGGAATCGAGGGCCGTACAAACACCGACTCCAGAGGCTTTGGGGAGGGCGTTTTCAGACAGGGTCAATAGCTCAACCAGTAGAGCAGTGTGGCAGATTACTTCCTCCACAATGCAATGGGTCTCCTGTAAATCAACTGTCTTAGAAATGGGGGTAGCCTTACCTGCCCTACAAGGAAGGAGACTTCTGCTGTGGACTACCTCCTACAACTGCTCCTCTTCTCAGCTCTGAACTTGCCAGGCCAACCACCCCCTTAGAGCAAACAAACCTTAATCTCTGCTCAAGCATGTCTTAACAGAGCTTTCTTTAGAGACCCCCCCACACAATAGAAAACCTAAAACCTCGTCTCTTCAAAGGACAGACGATGTGAAAGATCACAACATTGAGAGAACAGATAAAGAAACACATGGTCTGTTTGCCAGTCTGAAGGTTAAAGAAGAGCTGGTCTGCACATACACACATTCCCAAGAATGCGAGCATGTACTTGTGTATCTGTGGCCAAAGGATGACCCAAATGGAGCAAAATTTCCAATCGTGTTCATTCGTGGGCTGTGGGATTACAGCAACCTTCATGTAGACTTCTTTCTGTGTCTTTCAATTTCCCAATATACCATGCTTCCCTTAACAAAAGTTATAACCAACTATAGTATATGAAGCCAGAACATATATAAAGTCACAGTGAAACACACTCATCTAAAAACATGCAAACAAACTAGTTTCAGAATTTAAAGTAAAATATAAAATGTTGTAATAGGGTTTAAAACAATCCAAATTTAAAGTTAAAACTAATAATTAAAAATTACTTTTCACTCGGGAGGCAGAGCCAGGCGGATCTTTGTGAGTTCGAGGCCAGCCTGGGCTACCAAGTGAGCTCCAGGAAAGGCGCAAAGCTACACAGAGAAACCCTGTCTCGAAAAAACTAAAAAAAAAAAAAAATAAAATAAAAATAAAAAAAAAAAATAAAAAAAATAAAAATTACTTTTAAATTAAATGATCTTTTTTCTAAATTGGAAATATTTTTGTTAGCCCATTTTAAAAAACAAAGAAATCATGTAATTTGCCCAACTCAGTAAAAATTATCTGTAGAAGCTGGCTTTAGAAAAATACTTCAAATCTCCATAACCAGTCTACGACAAACATGACTTTTGCAAGCGGGCCCGAATGTAAATACCATCCTAACTTACAAAAATATCATGTAGAGCTGGAGATGTAACTCTGTAGCAGTAGAACCCTAGCCTGGCCTGAGTAAGGCTAGCCTTGAATGCTGGGATTAAAGGCGTGGAATATTGGGACTAAAGGCATGCCACCCAGCATAAAATTACACTTTAAAATGTCCTTTCTGTTTGGTCTTCCCCTGGGAAGCGGACCAGGGCCCCCTAGCAGTCTACCTCTGAGCTTTCTGCACAGCCATCGTTTTGCTCTGAGATACTGACTCACCAAGTTGCTCAGGCTGGTCTTAAACTTGTGATCTGCCTGCATCACTCTCCTGAGTAGCTGGACCTTTAGGATTGTACCCCTAGGTCTGGCTTGGGTACCATTAATTAACTGAGTGACATTAATTTTGTTGATATTCACATACCTCATGTTAGGAAAAGATTTGACTAGTGGTTTCTAAGTTTTTAAATTCTATGACCCAAACCCAGGCTGCCTCACCTGTGAGGTCAGTTCCTTCTGGAAAGATGAGAAGTTGTAGTGGTTCACGGATGTCACAGAAATAATCAATCATGTCTTCAAAATGGTTCTTATCGTCCTTCCACTTCCTATGGATGAAGATGAAGGCAGCAGCTTGCATGGCCCAGCCTAGGGAAAAATTAACAAGCATTTGCATGAACTTCAACAGCGATATCCACATCCTACTAATCATAATTTTTGGTTCTTCAAGTTATTACTATGTTTACTATCATAAGCATTCTATGACATACCATAAATTTAGCACTAATAACACATAAGCCACAGTATTTTTTAAAGGATTTTGGTGATCCTGAGGTTTGCAAAATTCTTAAAATTCTCCTTTAAGCCATAGCTTGTCCCTATAATCTCAAGGCAGTACTATTTACCAAGCAGTAAAAAATGAACTTTCTCAGGTCACAGAAGAATTATCTAACATTTTATTTCCTATACTCTCAAACTAAATGCAAGTGCTAATTTCAACAGTAGTCACCAGATTTTACTTAAATGGAAAGGGAAATTCTGGAATGTTACCAAGTGCATTCCTTGGTGGGTGTATGTGGTCACACTGCCTACCTCAGAGGCAGACCCACCTTATTACTGAAAAGGTAGCCTTGATAAGCCCATCTGTTCTCTGATGCCTGCCCACCCTTCCCTACCCATTCTTCCCAGGCCTCTGTGGGAGATGCCTGACTCAGGACAGCCTATGCAGTCTCTGAAGAGCTCACACAGCATGATAACTTGGGCCACACAGAGTAATTCTGTAAGCCAACTGAATGTCCACCCTGTCTTAAAATTATACCCAGGACCATGGGAAAGTAGAGAGTGTGAAGCAAAGGCAGGCAGGCAGTAAAGACAGCATGTGTAGTGAAGGCCAAAGCCTCTTGCTGCTGAGCCAAACAGAGCTGATTCTGATTCCCACCAAAGCACTTTGGTCCCCATTCTTGGCAGCCTATGTATGGGGTCCATCTCCACAATGCCCATGAGAGTCTTCCTCTCTAACTCACACACAATGACTACAGCACTCATCTCAACAACTAGGGACGAGGGGTAATGCCTTGCAAGCATGCAGTGCTGTTCTGGAATACAGATATGCTACAGTTTATCTATCCCGTTCGCTCCTAATTTAGGCTAAACCGAATCTGAGACTCTCTTACTGCTACTAGAAATCTTTATTCTGGTCATATTTATTAGGGGTAAGTTTTCCTGACATTTTTCATGTTTTCCTGTTACACTTCTTGGTGTCCCCCTCTCCCATTGTTCCCGTCTTTGGTTGAAATGAAGGATTTTTTGCCCCTTCTCTCGTTCTCTAAAATCCAGGCTTTCCTAGAACTCAGCCGTCGTCCCATTTGTTCATGTACACTATCAACAGCTCTTTCTGTCTAACAATGTCGGGGAGCACTGGGTGCCACAGGGGCAATATGGCTGCCACAGGACTCTACTGCCCAGAATATGAAACATGAACTTCCTACCCCATGGCAGACAGTGTGCCGACCTCAGCTCGATTGGCTTGGAAACAGAACACCCCATTTCATTCCTTGGCTTTTTTCACCCTTCTATATTTGGTAAGCCTGCTGAACCACACAACCCCTTCAACACGGAGTTCACTTATTAATCTTCACCAACCAAAACAGCTCCTAATTCTACCACTGTGTAAACAGGAAGACTACAGTTTAAATTTAAGTTTAATTTTTTAAAAGTAAAATAATGCCAAAAATGTATGCTTCTTACCACCACCCTTCTTACAGGACTTGGAGGAACGAACCACTCAATCGCTCCGAAGACCGTTTACTTCTCGACTACATTCCTAAACTAGACGGAAATGGTTTCGATATTTAGATTTGACCCCAGGTTTGCCGAACTCTTTGCTTGCGCCCTTCTGTTAGTCCTTTCTTTTGAAAATTGTTTCTGTCCTCACATTCCTGAAATGTATTTTTGGTTCTTAACTTTGGAAGCTGGTTTGGCTAAAAATAGACTCTGAGGTTCCAAATCACTGTTTCCTCAGAATTTCAGAACATTTCCCACAGCCCTCTACCCCTCGGAGCAGCCAGTGCGGCTAACATCTAGGAAGAAGCCAAACCAAGCTCATCTACTCGACAGCCTACCAACCACTCCCTCAGCTTTATGATTATTCTCTGCTGTCCCAATAACTGAGCTAATTTCAACAATCACATTTTTGTTTTTAATATTTGCCAATGGTTCTTTCCCACACCAGCTATTTTATGAAAAAGGAGTGTAATTATAAAAATAATGTTTGGTGAATGCTAACAATGTGCTTGATATTTATTATTCTGAGCATTTCATTTCATTAATTTTTAAGACAACTAGGAATCAGTAACAGTTACTATCTTATCGACTGCATAGATGAGGCACTCTGAAATGCCTCTCACCATGTAGCTCAAGCCTGAGCTAGCCTCAGATTCACTTTGTATCCCAGGCTGGCCTTGAACTCACAATAATCTGATTCTCATAACTGTCTCCCAGTATGCTATTTATCCTTACTTTGTTGGCTTGAAATCACAGCACCAAATGTTTTAAATCAGTGTGAAGGGGCTGAAGAGATGGCTCAGTGGTTAAGAGCACATACTGCTCCCTCAGAGGACCCAACTTTGGTTCTCAGCACCCATGTTGGGTAGTTTGTGACCACTCATCACTTCAGCTCCAAAAGACCTGACACCTCTAGGTATCCATCCACAGGCACCTGCACTCCTGAGCACATACACATGAGGACACACACACACATAACTTAGATATTAATAAACCTTTATGAAATCAGCATACTTTATAAAAGTATAGCATATATGCTCAGAGAATTATTACTCATATTACAAGTCCAATTGTATAAAACATTCAACTCTTTAAAGCTGTACAGTTTCTACAAATGTTTGTTTATACTGTGTTCACATTTGTAAAGAATGTTCTAGGGCTGGCAAGACAGCTCAGAAACTAAAGGCCCTCATGGCCGAGCCTGATGTCCTGAGTTCAATCCCAAGGCCTCACGTGGTAGAAGAGAAGTGGTCCTCTGACCTGCACACGTGCACCGTGGCATCCACAGGAACACACACACACACACACACACACACACACACACACACACACACAGACGTAAGGAAAAGAAAACACTGCCGCGTTGCCCACCTCTCTCCACCGTCGCCCACCTCTCTCCTCTCCGCAGACTACACTCCTTCCCTGGCGCCTCTACCATTTTCCTTGCCACTTAGACGCCAGGCACCAGGGTTTTCAAATCTCCTTCCCACAATTATTTTGTTGTTGTTTTCATAAAAACAAAAAATAACAAGAACATCTTGCAGGTGACATTTTACTGTCACCAGTGCATATTTTATCCGTGTTTAAAAATACTTGGATTTTACTTAACCTTAATGAAATTTTCAAAACGTGTATTTTCATAACATTTACTTAAACTTCCAGAGTTAGTTAACGGCAGCGCAATTTAAAATTACAAATCAATCTACGTCTCACATTTTCAGTTTCCCATGCACTGTCTTCACCTGGATTTCTACAGAAAGAATGTGTGGAGTCAGCTAGCCTCACTGCTGCCATCTTCATTATAAACCCGGTCACAGTGTCAGCATCGATCACCTCTCAAGGAGAGGGGAGGAACCCTGGGTACTCTGTGTCCCACCACAGTCACAATCTATAATTTAGCTTTGTTCTTCCTTACATTTCTTTTTATTAAGGTGTAGAATTTGCTAGAAGAAACTATTTACTTGAATGTATTTTTGGTTTCCGCTTCTCTGTGTAGCCCTGGCTATCCTGGAACTCCCTCTGTAGGGCCTCCAGCTTAGAGACCCACCTGCTTCCGTCTCTCAAGTGCTGGGACTAAAGGCATGCACCACCACCAGCTGGGTCTATTGAATATATTTTTAACTTAAACATTCTTTCCTTTAAAAAAAAATATGTATATATTTATTTATTATGTATACCATTTTCTGCCTGCATGCATGCCTGTGTGCCAGAAGAGGGCACTAAAGAGAGACACCAGATCTCATTATACAGGGCTGTGAGCCACCATGTGGTTGCCAGGAATTGAACTCACAACCTCTAGAAGAGCAGCCAGTGCTGGTAACCTGAGCCATCTCTCCAGTCCCAATACATTGTTTCTTAATAAGTATACTTATATGCCATTTTTTTTCTTTCCTTCATTTTAGTACAGATGGCATACAGTTCAGGAATCATAAAAACATCTGCATTACTCGTCTCTTCCTCTCAGAACTGAACCTTGGTGCTAGCTTAGGCATTATCACTGCTGTCTGTATAACCGCTAGTGCATGCAGTAAGGTAGCATTCTTCCACAGCACTATGAAGAAGACATCAGAAACCAAAGTAGCTACACAATTGTTCCCGTCCATGGTATTTTCGATTCTGAATAGAGGATAAGGAAGAAACCAAGAAATGCTACCCAAAGGCCTCTAATTAACTAAGAATGAATAATCTGAGCAGATGCAGACTGTAAGTGAAAACACTACCATAAAGTTCCCGAGAAACATTATGACTGAGTGGGTGCTTGTGTGCAACAGTAGCTATACAAATAAATGCAGAAACTAACAAGCAGTCACAGTTCCCAGAATGCCAACCTCAGTCCCAATACTACTGTCACATAGACAAAGTCAGGGGAACGCCATCTTCCTGGAACTTATGTAACAAATGGAGCAATGCTCTCCACTCCTCTTCTGAGAGGATCAATTTCCACAAAGCCTCTGGTTTTTCAAACTATCTTGACTGGAGGCAGACCATTAATTTATGACCTTTCCCTTCAAGAATTCTACTGCAGTATGCCTGCTATGAGGCTTCACAGATGCCCGTACCCAAACAAAAGGCAAGGCGTTTTATGCAAGTGAGCAAGTAAACGATCTTCTAAAGCAAACATTTTAAAACACAACTCCAAACTTGAAAAACCACAAAACTGAGAAGGAAAACAAACCAAAACAACAAAAAAAGCATGCATGGCACCCCCCCGTTATATTCGAGAAGAGCAGAGATTACACTAGAAACTACCCCCAACTCCTGGCAGACTGCACCCTTGTTTGACATTAAGGAAATAAACAGCCACTGATGGCATTTGTTGGCAAGACAAGGATTCTCATTTGTGGTGCAATTTAAGGGTTCCATTC